TTGGGGCTCTGGCTGAGCTTCCAAACGATGGCGTGCTCGCGGCCACCGCTGCCCACGACCACCACTGTGTGCTGCTTCAGTTCTCCTTCCATCTCTGTGATCTGTGAGTCTGTCGCAGCACAAAGGAGCCGCGGTGCAGGTGTCAGTGTGCCGCCAGCAGCGCTCACAAGATGCAGCCCACCCAAACACAACTCCGCAGCACACATCTCTAGGGATCTGCAGATTTCAGATTGGGCAGATGATGAAGCGTGATTCCGAAACATCGGAACCAGGCATCACTCCGAGTGCGGCAGATTGGATGGGAGGAGGGTGTGGGCGTACTTGAGATTTGAAATCTAATCTAGAGATGCACACGATCTCAGTCCGGCTATGTGGCAAACTCCTGTCCTCCTCCTCTCTACAGAGCAGATACTGCGCAAATGGCTCGCGTGGTACTTGTGCCAGTTGCTTCCGCAGGTCCCAGGTCGTTCTCCAGTGGAGAGACGTGGGATGATGGTGTTGGGACAAAATGCAAACAATTTCGAAATAGTTTCGAAATCTTCGAAATAGTTTCAAAATAATTTTAAATTAAATTATTAATGTCTAATCTGACGTCAGCAATAGACGTACTGGGCAAGATGATGGAGGCGGCAACGCAACCGCCGGAAACGGTGGTGGAAACAAACCAGCTCAACATAGGGGCGGCCATCATCCTCTTCGTCCTGTTTGCATTGAGTGCCCTCGCCATCTTTATTCGGTAACGCCTCCGTTAAACAAGCATTTTCATCTTTAAAATGAGGGAATTTAATCATTCCACTTTTTATTAAACTAATAAACATATTGATCTCAGCTAACCAATCATAAATAATAAACAGATTTGTGATGCTGTTGCGATCGAAGAAGCACCCGCCCCGACAAACACGCACCCACTTTTTCCTCTTCTTCGTCATTTGCTCGGCTCTCGGTACTTGCTGCTCTGCTCCTTTGCTTCACTTTTCTTTCCTCACATGATTGCGCCTTGGCACGTGTGTGCGTGTGCGCTGTGTGTCGTGCGACACCGCAGCACGAGCGACGTTCTTTGTACTGCTCCATGTGCCGTTGAATCTGCACCTCTACTTCTTCGTGTGGTTCCTCCCCGAGTTCCTCAACCTGGCCGCCTTTGTCATGCTCCTCCGCTCCTGGTTCTCCCTCTACCCTCCCGTGTGTGTCATGTGTCGTGTGTGTGGTGTGTGTCGTGTGTGTCTCGTGTGTTGTGTGTGTGTGTGTGTGTGTCGTGTGCTCTCTCTTTCTCTGTTCGTTTTCGTCCTCTCCTGACGTGTGCCGCGCAGGATCCGAGTGTGGGCGACCTCGCGCCACTTGGCGACCTTCACCTATCGCAGCACGCGGGTCAAACTATTCGTGATCGAAGTTACCACTATCACTTTCATCGAGGTACGGCCCCTGTAACGCACGCACGCACGCACACGCACGCACACGCACACGAACGCACGCACGCACGCACACTGACGAAGTATCGTTCGAACTCTAGGTGGCACAAGCGGTGGTCTTCTTGGTGATGATCATCCTGGGCGAGGGCTACTTTGACCTCATGCAACGGTACGCCGGCCACCCCCACGCTCTCGCTTGGCATTCATTTTTTAAATTCCATTCTTGACATTCTTGACATGCCTGGAATGCAGGGTGGACGCGTGGTACATGGGCGCGCTGGAGCTGCTGCTTATTTTGTCGAGCGGCGTGTGCATGGGCCTGGTCAAGTACCTCGAGAAGCGGGCCAAGCGGCGGCACGACATCATCGAAATCGAGCAGTCCTTCCTGAGCCTCTTCAATCGGGTACTCGCCACCTCGTACGCTGTCATCATCAACACCCATCGCCAACACGTCTAACCTGTGTGTGTGTGTGTGTGTGTGTGCGCGCGCGCGCGTGGTGTGTGTGTGTGTGTTGTGCGTGTGTGTGCGTGTCGTGCCGACACGATAGACGGATGCGGTGATGCTGGTGTGGGTCTTTGCGCGCGCGGTGCGTGCGTTCGATTGTCTGATGTCCCTCAACTCTGACTGGGACCAGGTCATCGCCTCCAGCTCGTACCTGCCCCCCCCCAAATCACTCTCCCACAACAACCTTGCACCCTCTCCTTGCTTTGCTGCCAACACAACGTGTGCGGTTGTGTGCGCGTGTGTCGTGTGTCGTGTGTCGTGCGTAGGTTGTTTCCGCTCTACGTGGGTCCGTTCTATCTATTCGCCGAGTTGGTGCCGCTGGCCTCGCTCATGTTCGGCAAGGTGATCGAGACGCTCGACTACGGCACCACCGAATACAAACTCCTCAACCTCCTACCCACCCTCTTCCCCTCGCCCAAGACTCGGGTATACCTCCTGCACTGCGACACACACGACACACGACACGCACGACACACACGACACACACGACACACGCACGAAGACTGACTTTGGTCTATCAATCAGCCAAGTACGACACAATTTTCGCTCAACGCGACCTACATGGAGAGGGACCTCACGCTCAACTACACCTCGGAGGACGAGAGCGAAGAGGACGACCCCCGACTCGCCGCCGATCGCAAGGCCCTCCTCACCAGCAGCGGCCGACTGACGGCCGAGGCGCTGGTGCCGGCCTCCGGTAATGGCCCGCCGTCCATGGAGGCCCTCGGCCCGCACGGCGCGGCGAGCATCAGCACTTCTCGCAGCGGCGGCGGCAAGGCCCCCGACACCGCCCTTCTCATCAAGCAGCTGACCAAGAACCCTAGGTACGCCGTGTGTCGTCTGTGTCCTGTGAGCCGTGTGTCGTGTGTCACGTATGTCGTGTCGTGTCGTGTCGTGTCGTAAGAGACTCAAGCGGGCGCGTCGGTCTGGTGCAGAGTGCGCGGCTTCATCATTCCATTCGAGGAGCTGCAGATTATCCAGAGGATTGGCGGAGGCGCCGGCGGCATCGTCATGAAGGCCGTCTGGTGCGCGCACGCCGCCACCCCCTTTGGCCACAGTCCCGTCTGGGCTCACCAGCGCGCGTGCGTGTGTGGCGTGTGCGGTGTGTGTGTGTGTGTGTTTCCCCTAGGAATGACATGATCGTGGCGGTGAAGCAGCTCAACCAGCTGCTGCAAGAAGGCAGAGACCTTCTCGACTTCCTCAACGAGATCGAAATCATGAGGTACGTGCGTCTCTTCGTTATTCTTCGTTCTTCGTTCTTCTTCGGCTCTCATCACTCCGATTTATCGATTGCCAGTTCGCTGCGACATCAGAACATCGTCACCTTCTACGGGACCTGCATCCAGCCCCCGCATGTATGCATTGGTACACCACCACTACTACGACTGCTACAACTACCTCCTCCTACGCATTAGATTTTGCTTGCTCACCTTACTTGTGTGCGATGTGTGTGTGTGTGTGTGTGTGTGTGCATAGTGTCGGAGTACCTCAAGCGCGACAACCTGCGCACGGTGCTCGACGACGAGTCGGTGCGGATCGGCGCGCAGCTGATGGCCCGCATGATGCGCGACATCTGCAAGGGCATGTCCGTCATTCACAAGTACGCACACACACGACACACGACACACGACACACGACACACGACACACGACACACGACACACGACACACGACACACGACACACGACACACGACACACGACACACGACACACGACACACGACACACGACACAAAGCTTCACCGTACTTTCATGAATTACTCATATCGGCTGCGCAGAGCCAAGATCATCCATAGAGACTTGAAGCCCCAGAACCTGATGGTGGACAAACATTACCGCATCAAGGTTCACACGGCACACACGCGACACGCGACACGCGACACACTACACACTACACACCACACGACCCGCACACTCGTTAAGTTGACTTTCATGTGTTGGTTGGGTGGGCCAGGTGGGCGATTTCGGGGTGAGCCGAATGCTGCCGGGGGGCAACAGCATACCTTTCTCGGGCTACTCCATGTCCATCGCCGGCTCCTCTGTTTATATCGCCCCCGGTAACCGACACGACACGACACGACACGACACGACACGACACGACACGACACGACACGACACGACACGACACGACACACACGACACGACACGACACGACACACGACACACACAGCTGATAGATTGAATGATTGTTGTGACAGAGGTGTACAACCTGCGCTACACACACAAATGCGACCTGTGGTCGTTCGGGATCATTCTCTGGGAGATGTGCACCCGCCAATACATCACCCTTCGCCCCGGTACGCGCCCCCGCGCGTTCCCATTAACACGCGCGCCGTCCTAACGGCGGGTGTGCGATTGAGCAGAGGAGTTGATGCATGGGATGCGACCAGAGATCCCCCCCGACTGCCCGTCACTCTACGCCTACCTCATCCGGTAACAACAACAACAACAACAACAACAACCAACAACTACAACAACAACAACCAACAACAACCAACAACGACCAACAACCGCACGACACGACATGACGCACGTTTGCTTGTGGCGTCAATTTATCACAGAGCGTGCTGGGACGCCGACCCGACGCGGCGACCAGAGTTCCGGGCCATCCTCGCACTCCTCAAGCAGTGGAAGGGGCGCGAGACCGACTTCCAGGCCGCCGCCGCCGCCACGGCCGGTCGCAAGGGACGCGTGGCCAGTACGTTAACGAGCAGCCAGCAGCAGCGCCAGGCGCCGGCGGGGGGCGCCGGCGGCGACGTCAGCAAGTCGGCGACGCCGCCACCGCCGGGGTGGGACGGGCACGCCCGGTCCCAGTACGAACTCACCGGGCTGGGCGGCGACGAGACCAGCAGCAGCGGAAGTAGCGCCAACGAAAAGGAACCCTCCTCTCCTGATTAATCACAATAAATTTACATTTTATATCTATGAATCAGTTCAATATAAATAATATATAAGTAGATTAACAAAATAAGTGGTATAAGATATATACACATATGTGTCTTTGCCCGCTTGTAGGCACTATCGACGTAGATCACCAGGCACGCCACCAGGCCCGCCATAGCCAGCGCCACAGGCACCGCCACTCCCGCCGCGACCGTGTTATCGCCGCAGCCGTCACTTGTCGTAGAGGAGCTCGGGCTCGAGATCACGGTGGCAAGGCTGCCGCTCTGGACGTCCGGCTTGCACGACGGGCCGCCCGAGCATGAGCCCACCCTGGTCTCGCCCCCGCTGGCCGCTTGGCACACAACAAGAAGTCAGTCTTACATCCAACCACCACATACCACTACCAACCATCCACCACCATCCCCACACCCATCCCCAGATGGGACCCCTCCCAATTTTGGAGTTGGCCGTCAGGCCACTGTGGGTGGTGCACAGAATGAAATGGAGAAGAGGATGAAGGTGGTCACCCAGTGCTGAGGGATGCAATGCTATCACTGTTGAGTGGCGTGGCAACAACAACTGGCTGGTGCCAGACTGAAATGTATGAACTCACACCAGGCTGGGTGGCCAGCCGACTGGAACGTATGCATTCCATCTTCTCTTCTCTTCTTGGCAGCTCAAGTGCTCACCCAAGACTGCCTGTTGAGCTTGTGGTGCTGATCCGCCGAGACAGAGAGTTTCGTCTCAGACAAGTCGTTCCCCTGCACCCTCTGCAGCTCGCGCTCCAGCGAAGTGTTCCGCACCGAGCTGCGCCGGCGCACCGGCGGCAGCTGCTCCAGTCGGCTCCTGGCCCGCTTGTAGGCGATGTATACCACCAGGCACGCCACCAACCCCACCAGCACCAGCGCCACAGGCACCGCCACGCCCGCCGCGATCGCGACCGTATCGCTGTCACCGCCGTCACTTGTCGTAGAGGAGCTTGAGATCACGGTGGCCAGGCTGCCGGTTTGGAGGTCTGGCTTGCACGACGGGCCGCCTGAGCACGAGCCCACCGTGGTCTTGCCGCCGCTGGCCGCCACGCCCCCCATGCCGATCGAGCCCTCCTGCCGCGCGGCCAAGCCGCGAGTGGTCTCCGTGGTGGAGGTGAAGCAAAACGGTAGCCAGTAGGAGCGAGATGCCACCAGTCTTGATGTGGGGATGCTGGCGGTCACTCGGGTGTAGGTGTCGTTGGCCACGGTGGGCATGTGCGCCGAGACGTCGACCTGGCCCAGAAGCGCGGCCGTAGACATGTCGACGATGTAGGCCACCGTCGTCACATTGGTCTCCGTGCTGCCGGCGCCGCCGAGGCGGATGAAGTAGGAGAAGTCGATGCGGGTGCCCGACAGGCCCACGATGACGTTGCCCGCGCACTGGGCGCTCGTCGTGGTCTGCGCGGTCGGAATGGAGACGGCCTCGACGTCGGGCGGGCCGTTGGTGAATCTACTCGCCACCGGCAGGGCGAAGGGTGACGTCGACGGCGAGGGCGAGGGGGCATCACAGCAGCCGTAGAGCTTGATCATGCCCGTGCGGGAGCTGAGGTGCTGGGTCTCGCCATTAGATGCGCGGTAGTACATTTTGTCGACTGTGATGCTCTCGTTGTAGTTGGGCTGCCCCGCAGTCCACCCAGACACCATAGGTTGATTGAGCGAGAGCACGAGCCAGTAGAAGTCCACCGAGGGCAGGGCCAGGCCGGGCCTGGCGGTGGTGTAGAAGGTGTAGAAGGTGTAGGTGGGGTCGCTGCTGCTGACCGAGTAGAACTGGTCGCCCTGGGGCACCAGCCCGCCGGGCTTCCCAGTTGAGCCGTCGTCAAAGCCACTTGGGACGTTGTCGTTGTAGCGCAGCTCAGCCGAGACAAAGGCTGTCCGATGAAAAAGAAGATGACGACGATGATGATGAGGCACAATTCCGAATAAAAAAAAGAGGATGATGAGAGGGAGGGGGGGGTTCGTACTACTAGGATATCGGAGCTTGACGGTGAAGGAGGTGAGAAGGCAGTTGGCCCCGTTGGTGTGGAGGCGGTGCAGCTGCGGGTAGTACGCGAGCCAGCCCCACTGCTCCAGATTCATAGTGTTGGCCAACTCCCGCACCCCGCAGGCCAGCGGCGAGTACGAAGGGCTAGCGGAAGGCGAGCTGCTGGGCGATTTGGTGGGTGTCGGTGAGCTGCTGGGCGATACAGGAGGGGACGTCTGCCCTTGGGCGAGAGTGGAGGTTAAGAGTAATAGGAAGATGAGAGGGAAGTGGGGGTGGAGTAGTAGTGCCATTGAGCTGGTACTGTTTGTGGTACAGTGCTGGGTTCAGCACTGAGCGGGCACAGCACCTATTTTAGCTTCAAAATTGTTTCCCTTTTTTCACAGGCAAAAGGGGGAAAAGAAAAAATGCAACTTAATAATAATATAATATTACATTAGGTTGTGTGAACTTGGTGGTTACCACCACATCCTTCTTTGCTTTCCTTCTTCGACCACCACACCCGACCTCCGCTTTGTCTCTGGAATGAAGGCCGCCCTTGCTTTCTTCGCACTGCTGCTGCTGCTGCAGCTTCTCTTGTTGCAGGTGGGCAGCGAGGCTGCGCCGCAGTCGTGGCTGTCCCCAGACACATGGCGGCTGTCTTACCCTCAGGGGTACTTGGCGGCGACCACGGTTGGCGAGGTCGCCCTCTTTGCCGGCGGCAACAACGAGATCGGCGATCCCTATCGCGTGGTGGACCTATTCAACCTGTCCTCCGGCGAGAGGACAAGCGCTCGGCTCTTCCAGCCTCGCGTCGGCCCGGCTGCCGCGTCCAGCGGCAACCTGGCCTTCTTCGCCGGCGGAGTTAACGGCTATTCGGACCTAACCGACTGCTCGGTGGTGGACGTCTACAACGCGACGTCCAACCGGTGGACGTGGGTCACGATCCACCAAACCTGCGATGCGTCGGTGACGTTGGTTGGCGACCTGGTTCTGTTCGCCGGCGGCATCTGGCCCAAACAATCCGCACACGGCCCCGACTGTTCAGTGGTGATCATCTACAACGTGACATCCAACCGGTGGCGCACAACCTTCTGTACCCTCTCACAGCCGCGCACCGGCATAACGGCGACGACGGTCGGCAATCTTGCTCTATTCGCCGGAGGCGGCGTCTACAACTCAACGCCCGCAGTCTCCAAGCTCTCGGATGTGGTCGACATCTTCGACGTCTCGACGGGTCTCTGGAACACGGGACGGCTCTCCCTGCCTCGCATGGGTATCTCTGTGACATCGGTGCGCGATCTGGCGCTGTTCGCCGGAGGCTACACCACTGATGTGAACGGCAACGTTGAGAGAGTTGATCGCGTTGACATCTACAACGCATCATCAAACCAGTGGAGCGTGGCTCATCTCTCGCAGGCGCGCAGCCAAATGGCAGCCATGACGGTGGGCGACGTGGCCATCTTTGGCGGCGGCTACAACGATAAGCTGGGCGGCCCGCAGGTGACGGTGGACGCCTACAATGCGTCCTCTGGCTGGTGGTTCATGGCTGGCCTGCGCCTGTCGGAGGCTCGGAGCTCACTAGCGGCCACGTCCGTGGGCGGCTTGGCTCTCTTTGCCGGAGGCTTTTCGACGACGGGATATGCCGTACCCACGTTGGACGTCTTCAATGCGTCCGCTCACCTCGTCTCGCCTTCAGCCGCGCCATCAGCGACGCCTTCGGTGTCTCCCACAGCCTCCATTTTCACGCTGTCTGTGTCGCCCTCAAGCTCCACTACGCCATCACTATCACCTTCAGTGTCGCCTTCGACCTCGCCCGCCATCACGCCTTTGCCGCCCAGCCACTTGCCATTGGATCACAACGGCTCGAGCGACAACAAACTGGCGCTGGGCTTTGGTCTGGGTGTCGGTGTTACGGTGGTGGGCGGCTTGATCGTGGTGGGTGGTGCAGCCACGCTCTACTACGTGAGGAAGAGACAACGCACGCGCGCCAGCTTCGACTATCAGCCGGTTTTGCAGCTGTAACACGAGTGTTTATCTTGACGTGCTGGTCGTCACACAAGCTGCACACGCCTTTGCTCTACAGCCCCGACCTCGAATTGTTTGTCACCAATCAGAAGCACATCCTGTGTACCAGCATGGTGGGTCCTGGTGTGTGCACGTGCGTGTGAGCGCTGTGTCCCAAGAACGACGGTGTGATTTGAGGTGATGTGGAAGAAGAAGGTCATATGCCCGCCCTCTCGTACCGTGTTCATTGTAGTCGGCTTGCAAGATCCACCGGTCTTGGAAGTTGTCAGAGGAAGCAAGAATCGAGCCTCCTTGCCAAGTCGCCACCAGCGGGTCTGCACTCCTGGTCATGCGCATGCGCTCGCCTGTGGTCCACCACGTCCGCCGCCTGAGCAGAATCCATCCAGCTCGATATTGAGCGCTTGGTGGGAAGTACTGCACCTTGGGGCGCAAGTGCGTCGAGTTCGAGCTGAAGCCGCTCGACGAAGCCGGCCATCGCTGACGAGCTGCCCATGGGGATGATGTTGTGTTGGTGCCCATCCACTGTCTGCCACGTTGTCCGTGATGTCGTAGACGCTAGCATATCAGATTAGCAAGGAACTCCACTGTGGGCTCCCTGGGAGTCTTCCCTCAGGGACCCGGTCGGACTTGGCTTGGTGTCATCCACCTCTGATAAGCTCAGATGTACATGCGCACTTGCTATGACACCATCCTGCTTATGACTAGAGATCCAAGTGTTGTGAATGGAATACGCTGGAGGAGGCGCGCCACCTGGCCAAGATCGCCCTCCCCTTCTACAAGACCCTCTACATGTGGGCGTGTGCGCGTTCCGATGCAGGCAAAGTGACAAAGACTCTTCAGTTACAGCGCCCACTGCGCCCATAGTTGCAGCTGCGTCAGCCAGCTGCGGGCCGAGAGCGTGGACGCGCCAGAGGAGAGGCAGTCGCTGCAGGTGGTTACAGTCCAGTTGCCGGCCAGCGAGAAGCCGCCGAGCGAGGACGGACATGTTTTCGACGAGCAGATGGTCTTGGTGAGGCGCTTATCGGCCTTGTCGGCATAGAAACAGCATGTGTGGTCCCTGCTCGGCGTCGGCGTCGGCGTCGGCGTCGGAAGGGGGCAGGCGTACTTTGTGGAGTACTGAAGGTTGTAGGTCAGGATGGGGTCCTCCTTGAGGAAGGCGAGCATGCCAGTCTCCTGGACATGTTGCTGTGGTATTGGGGAGAGGGCCACTGGACCGGGGACCTCTGCTTGCTGGTATTGCGTGATGCCCCAATTTATGAAGAAGCGCATCCGTACCACCAGAAGTGGACTTGGGCACCATGGTGCTCCTTGCCGCTGGAGAAGGTGAGGGTGAAGCCACCAGAGTCGGAGCCGCTCGGGAGCCTCTGGAACTCAGCGGTCTTCTGGTTGCCGCTGCCGTGGTACTGGGCGGGGTCGCGCGAGTCCTTCTGGCACACGGCAGGCGTGTGTCCTTCTGGCACACGGCAGGCGTGTCGTCGGCCACGTTCTGACAGAAGATGAGGCTCATGGCGCCACACACTCAGTAGAAGTAGACCTGGCCAGTGCTGCTGTTACATGTACATCTTACATGCCAATCTTTGCGGCCAGTGGCGAAAGGTCATATTCAAAGTTACCCACCTTACCCTTGCAGTCGGCCTGTGCTGACCCCACAACGACCATCAGGGCCAGCACAGCCAGCACCACAGGCACAAGACACTGCATAAAACAATGATGTCCCATCTTCTCTCCTCCTCTTCCTTTCTGCTGTGCTGTGTGTATTGGGGAGAAGTGGGGGAGGCAAAGGGGCTGTGTAGGCCTGACTGAAACTAACTCCACATTGCTGGCAGAACCAAGACTTTGTGGCCCCAGAGTGTAAAACTGTATGTTCCACTGCCTTGCTTGTTCTGCTGTTACATGTTTTTAATATTAATGCAAGTGCTTGTGTATCCTTTGACCCAACAATAACAATCACTGTTAACAGGGTGTTGCTTTCCAACTTTCATCATTGTGGTCATGGTCACTGGCAGCGCAGTGGGCTGGGCTTGGTGTAGGAATAAGTGCAACCAGACCTCTAGGGCAAGACAGGCAACTTCTACTTCAACTACAAATACTAACAGAAATGACCATTTTACTGACCAACTGCCACTGCCTGGCACAGGGGCCATCCAGTCATCAAGTGTATGGCCTGGATGCACTGAGGACAGAGGTAATTCAACAGGATGACTTCATCCTCAACAAAGGGTCAAAGTTGTATAGACTTTGTCCAGCTGATGCTGCACATTAGCACCAGCCAATACACCACTGCACACTACAACAGTGGAAGCACAACAACAAGCTCAGCCGCCTTCATCAGGTGGATACCTCAAATGAACAAAAGCATTAGGTGAGGCAAGTAACTTTTCTCTGTATACATTATCATATCAGTGAGTCAATGCATCCTTCTTCTTCTTCTCCTTCTCCTCCTCTGCTCTGTCCCTGTGCTTCCTCTATGTCTGACCAACTCCTCCAAGCAATTAAACTCTTCTCCACCCCCTTACCTTCTCTTTATCACCTGCTCCCAATCACACAACACCTGCCCACACCTTCATCATCTGGTGAGCTGGCTGAAGCTGGTGGCCATGGTGGTGCAGTGAAACCTGTGGGAAAAAGATAGCCCTCACCACCACCTGGGGTCCTGGATGTTGTGGGCCTGCTTGTTGGCTGTACACATACACCCAAGTGGTGATGAAGGATGGTTGGGTGAGATGACACATGGTTGGGTGGGTGGTGGGTGGTATGTGGTATGTGCACATGTGGTCACCACAGGCAGACAGCTGATCATGGTGCCCTCAGCAAGCTTGACATGGGCTGCTGGGGCAGGCACCACGCCCTGCAGCATGCATCACACTGCCAGCTCTTCAGCTAGCCTGCACCATGCATTGGAATGATGAGCAGTGAGCTCTTTGACCACCCACTCACCAGCCACCACCATGAATGCCATCCACCAGCCCCATGTGGAGTGGCTTGGCTGGATGGCTGGCTGGCTCTAGTAGTAGTGGTGGTGGTAGATTGCTAAGGCCAACACATCAGCCCTTGCCAAAGAAGGACATGCAGATGACAAGCACACATGAGGAGTCCCATCAAACCATTTTATGTACAGATTTCCCACCCAACACGTCGGATGGCAGTTTTGCCGAAATATGTGCATTTTTAAGGTCTTTTCTTGCATTTTCTACATTTTCCGTTCACATTTCTCATATTTTGTGCATTGGACTGGTCGAAGTGTACTGATGACACCAGTCTGTTTCTGGAGGGTGTGCAGATACTGGTGTTACAGCCCTGACGATCTGTACATGCTGCCAGATAGTTAGTGAAAAAGGGTCACTGACCCTTTTTTGTGATGTAGTGCATCCCAAGTGACCTAACTTCTTGAAGGAGAGAAGAGATGACAAATTGGGGGAGGGCACCTGGGTACTCAACAACTTGATGCACTTGCACAAGACAAGGCAATGGGGGAGTGCATGGTGATAATTGCCATGCATGGCTGTGGGGTGGTGAAGAGGTGTTGTTTGGATATGGAGAGCCACACAACTGGGCAACCAAAGCAAAGGTTGGTATCAAACTTGAGGCACAATTGTGATGTTCTATCATTCATCAAGTTCTCCCTGTGCAGGCAGCAAGAATGGGAATCAGCCCTCTCTTGTTCTTATGGATGATCCATACCTCCTCTGCCAGTTGCAGTAGTCTCTTGCCACATGTGCTGGACTTCATCAGACAAAATCCACTGCACATATTGTGTTGAATCCCCTCAGTACTATGAGTTTCATCATCAATCACTGGTTGAGGTATTTCCAGTTTGTTGTCTCTTCCTCTTGTGTTGCTTGGTAAGGGGAGTTGCTGTGATTGGCTCCTTGTTGATATTGGCTTGCACTTGTTTGCAGCTTTCCTCCCAAACTAGCTTGGGAAGGATTTCACTCTCCACAAACCCAATTCCCTTCATTAGGTCCATGATGGTCAACAAATTAGCGCTGGCTTGCCCCTAAGCCAAAGCCGCACCAGCTAGCTGTTGCTCAGCGTGATGTGTACACCGATGGAGCCCTTGATCCCCTCCCACGAGCATATCGTGTCTATTGACATTTTTACTCGCTGGCTGTCTCTTCTGCGTTCTCTTCGACTTCGTCCTCGTCGTCATTCCCATCGGTGTGCCTCTTGACATACCACTCCGGA